GCAGGCCGGCGGCGAGCACAGCGCGCGGCTCACGGCCCACTGGAAGAGGTCTGAGAGGTTGCGACGCCACGGCAGGTAGGCATCAAACACATCCATGTCACACAAGAAGACGGACCGCACCAGGTCACGCACGGCCATGTGCAGCGCCGGCGCGCTGCCGTGCGACAGGGCGGACCACACGTGCCACGCGGGCTCCATCAGGTAGAAGACATCGGGGTGCTGGCTGAAGAGCTGGCCCACGAAAGATGAGCCAGAGCGCCATGAAGACAGCACCAGCACATGCACGCGTTCCTCGCCATCTGCTGGGGATGTCAGCCTGGGCCGGGAGACCAGGAAGAGCAGGAGGCCGGTCTGCGCCAGCAGGAGCGCGGTCACCGTCGTGCTGGAGATGCGTGGCAGCCACATGCTGCGTGCAAGGGGCCTGCGGGAGGGAAGGTTCGCAGTTAGGGACCCACAGCGCCCTTGTCCACATCCCAACTTCTGCTCAGTGGTTGCAGGGAGCAGCCCGAGGAAGGTGACGTTAAGACCTAAGCCATGATCTAGTGTCACATAAGAGGAAAGGGCTTGGTGAGGTGCCATAGTCTATGCAGAGCAAAAGGCCAGCGGCAGAATACTATGGGAAACCCTCTTCTCTTCTCTTTTATTCTCTTCTCTTCCTCCCTCACTCCCTATCTGGTGAAGGAAATATTTTAATATATATTTTTATTGATTTCAGAGAGGAAGGGAGGAGAGAGAAATAGAAACATCAACGAGAGAATCATTGATTGGCTGCCTCCTGCACGCCCCCTACTGGGGAATGGAGCCCTGACTGGGAATCTAATTCTGACCTCCTGGTTCATAGGTCAAGGCTCAACCACGAAACAACACCGGCAGGGTTGAAGGAAATATTTTTAAAAACAAAAACTCCGGCCTTTTGGTTAAGAATTCCGTTTAGGGAGACGCGTTTCGGTTGTTCAGCTGAACAGCTTGATGGGTGATTTGGCTCCCTCAGGTTGAATCCTGGTTCAGCTACTTTCTAGCCTGTGATCTTGGACCAAACACTTAATCTCTCCATGACTCAGTTTACCCATCTGTAAAAAAGGGACAATACCGTTCCTGGAGTATTGGTATGAGCATGGGGGCAGGGGGAATGTACTAAACCTTCATAATGGATAGCTTGTATTTTCTACACATTGAGCTTCTGCATTGTCTGAAAATTTCTAACATGCAAATACAACTTTTGTTATTAAAAGTAAACAAGTAAATAGAAGACAAAGAACACCAACTGTTACCATCACCCACGGGGAGTGAAGTGCTGCAGAGTGCTTGGACTCGAGGGAGGGTATCCTTCTGGAACCTGTGAGTTTGCAGAAGAAACCAGTTCGGGGAGAGATAGGATGGAGCTGGAGAAGCTGGGAGGTGAGAGTAGAGTCAGGCCCCTGGTGGCTGCTTGCCATTTCCCTGCTGAGGTTACCCACCACGGCCCGGGACTGCTGGGGTAACTGCCCACCTCTATCATGGGGGATGCCTGGAGGAGCCTCAGGTCCTGAGAAAGCAGCAGCCCCACAGGGGGAGCTAGCCCTGCCCTGGCTGCAGCTGGGCTCAGACTGGCTGCTGGATACATTTTTCCAAATGAGTGAACTGACTGTGTCTCCTGCTAAGTGCAGGAGAGAGGACTGGCTTGGAGTTCCTCCCATGCCACTCAGGAGCTATGAGACCTGGGGCAAATGACTTGAATTCTCCAAGGCTCAATTTCCTCCTTTGTAAATTGGGGATAACATTTAACCTCTTACAGTTGCTGTGAGGAATGCTGGTACAAACCCATAAGAGGAAAGGGCTTGGTGAGGTGGCATATTTATTCCCCAGATTATTCTTGCTGCGTTGAGCTGGGTCTGGAGAGGAGGAACCATGGGAGATCACCCAGATGAGACACCTGAGGTCACCTCTGCTTGGAATCCCAACACTTCCCAGGCCCACCTCTCACCCCAACCACCCTGAATCCTTTGGTGAATCTTTAAATGTCGTGCTTGCGCTGCAGAAAGGAACACTGAGCCTTCCACACCCCAAGGTTCCCGAGTCTTCTCCTCTTTGCACCTGTTGCTCCTGCAATGATCAAGGATGAGGTGCTTTGGAAGATAGGGGCCTGGAAGTTTCCCCCTTAGTTTCACAGTATTTGCTCCCTAATAACACCCTCCCTGTCCATGTCCCCACTGAGAGAGCCAGGGTCTAGACCAGCGGTTCTCAACCTGTGGGTGGCGACCCCTTTGGCGGTCGAACGACCCTTTCACAGGGGTTGCCTAAGACCATCCTGCATATCAGATATTTACATTACGATTCATAACAGTAGCAACATTACAGTTATGAAGTAGCGACGAAAATAATTTTATGGTTGGGTCACAACATGAGGAACTGTATTTAAAGGGCCAGAAGGTTGAGAACCACTGGTCTAGATCATGAGCAGATCCCATCTCTGTGCCTTTCCCTTATTGGTAGGCTGTAGGAGTGGAAGGAGGATGCCCAATAGCTGCCATCTGCTAACTCCAGAACTGCCTCCTGGATCCCATGCCCGCTCCTGGAAAACCTAGAAGACATGGAGAGTAACCATCCATCTGCTCTGCACTTGTTATCTCCTCTCCTTAAGGGTGTGCTCCCCCTGAGAACAGGGGGCAGGAGAGGAAGGGAACTCCTAATGGGTGTGCTGACAGAAATCACCTCAAGTGTGAGATGCTTTATATCCACTCTATTATTTAACTCAGCAGCCCCTGAGGCGGCCATTATGATCTCAGTTTTTTAGGTGAAGAACCCCAAGGCTTAAAGAGACAGCAGGAAACCAGGACTCCAACCCTGGACTTCCATTGCTAAGCTCCTGGCACTTTCTTAAAAAAAATAAAAATAAAAATTTATATATATATAAATTTTAAAATTATACACTTTAAAATTATA